TCTCCAATGATTCTTTATATGTCATCAAGTACTGATTATATTGATACCAAAACCGATCCAATATGTAACTACTACGGTGAATTTTGAACAACAGTTTTAAATGAAACCATTTCCGTATAAAAGTACATTTTTGAAACAGACTATAGCATTTCAAAATATGAAAAATGTGTAAATATTTGTGTTTAAACATCGAAAACTATTCGTTAACTACAAAATGTCATGCCTATTCTAATTTTTATAGTCTGCCATTCGAGTGAACATTTCAATGTTCAATGGGGGTCATTTCTGTACATTTTCACTGAATTTGGTAATTTCGATAACAGCATTTGGATCGAGATTGTCATGTTTAAAAATCGATTTGTATATCCAAACTCTAGACGTGTACATGCTTTTTCAAACAAATCAGCAGAAGTTCAGAAAACGACATATTCTCTCCACAGTAAGTCAAAAGTCGAACCCACCCTTGTTTCTAAGGTAAAACGCAATACAAATATGAAACAGACTATAGCTTAAAAACTAGTTAATCAATAATTCATTTGTCACCAAAAAATACGGTTTCACATCAAATATCAAGTAAAATTACTGTTTTTGACACTTTTTGAGCACTATGATAAAGAAATGTCGACGCTGTATAGGTTGAAATAAACAATTAATTTCCCCATAGGCGACAATGATAGCCTTTTTCGAGATACAGACTTTAGAAAGTTGATTTTTTAAACGAAACCTTGCTAGAATTAAAGAAAAGTTATTAGGACAGTATTTTTTGGTCCAAAAAATATAGGTTCGCGTTGCTTTTCTTAGCGTAATTTGTACTTATCTCCCATGCCTATCAATTTTGCACATAAAAATACGTGTCTCATCCTAGCGTTTAAAAGACATCTCAGTTCCGTTAGGGCTAAGGAAAATAATTTATTTGGCCTTTGGTATAATGCAGAATGCACGAAGTCTCTAATAACAAAAAATAACGGGCGCACATATCAACCAATCAGGATTAGCTATACTCTTAATTCTGAATACCATGTTATGCTCATAAAATGGCTGCGCCCATAAAATCTAATGGTGTATTGTAACCTGTATAGCCAGTCAAGGTCGTTGAAACCTCCATTTGTTATGATGTATCTCTGGCTCCATTGATGGACTCCCATAATATAGTCGAGTGCGGATCCCGGATTTTGAAAAAAATGTTGGAGATCGAAAAGACAACATTAGAAATGGGACTAATGTATGAAGTTTATATTATGCATATACCATTGAAGCAGCCTCGATGATAAATTGTCATCTAAGACGGTATAAATTAAAATTCTGTATGACATGTCACGAAGAGGAGTTGAGATATATGCGACATATTTTATTAAATGTCCTCACAAAGGTGGTCTATTTCACATGTTTTCGGACATTAAATCTATTTCTTGTGTGACAGTTTGCTGACTGTTAATGTTCATCATAACCTTTTCGCAAATAGGGCCGTATTTACACTACAAATTTCACTCTGAGTACAGACAAACCTGTGCATCTTGAAAAGTTTTAGAGTATTGGGTGGGGGTGGGGGGGAGGGGGGGGGGGGGGGGGGGGGAGGGGTAGGACCTTTATCGGGACTCCGGGATCGGGTGCTTTTAAGCTCGGGATTTCGGGATTGATCCTTTCGGGATCCGGGAATTCTTTTTTCGAATTTCGGGATGTCGGGATTTACATTTTTTTAAATTCGGGACCTCGGGATTCCATGTTTTTAAGCCCGGGATTTCGGGATCAGGACCCCTCCTACCCCCTCAGTATGGCAGGACCTAGATAAATAAAATTTAAATGCATTTTAAGTTTCAGAATATTGAAAACTTTACTAGATTTTGCTATTCATTTTTTTCGTTCCTGCAGAAGGTGCCAAAATAAACTAAGGTGGAGAGAATCGGAGACGTTAAGGGCTTGAATAATTCGAGTTAGGTCATTACATGGTCCGAGGACACAGTTATCGTTCTTTGGTTTTTGTTTACCTAAAGTCGTGGTGTGAACAGTGTGTAACTAGCATTTTTTTTTTATAATACACTTTCCCAATTTATTTCGTGATATCTAATGCATGAAATTTTATGTAAGTGGATGAAATTACATATTAAAAAAAATTGGGTGCTGAATCTTTATGTTAAGTAGTGATTTGGTCCAGTTAAAAAAGGTCAAATATTAGTACGTCTGAAGCTGTCTAACTGAATTTGAGACCCCCTTAACACAGAATTGTCAATAATATGAGTTATCTAGAGCGTTAATACGTTCCAATTGACTTGGAAAGAGCCGATTTTTAAATTGAATTGATTAATTTAAAAGGCTTGGGCAAATAACATTTGAGAACGTAACTTTATAGCAAGGAACTATAGCGTATGCAGATTTTCTTTGAACACATACGAGGGTCTTGAATATTGGGGGAAAGGGGTGTCTTTCAATCCTGTTTGTCTTTTAATTTGTAAGTCATTTTTTCTCTATTCTTCATATTTTTCTCTATTCCTTATTTTCTTGGCGTCTATTTTCTTCACTTTATTTGGCCCTTTGTTGTGCACTTTTTGTCCATTTATATTCTCTATTCTTCTATAAATCCTATCCAGACCCTCATAAACATACACAATCAATATGTTCCGCTCCTAACCCCAGTTGACATGGATATAGACAATTGTCATCCATGGGGTTTTTCTCATCTGTTGTGATGATATAACATTGCTAAACGAGTCCGTTATAAAAAAGATGTGGTAAGATTGGCAATGAGACAACTCTCCACAAGAGACCAAATGACACAGAAATTAACAACTATAGGTCACCGTACGGCCTTCAACAATGAGCATAGCATATACCGCATAGCCAGCTATAAAAGGACAAAATACTAGGAGTCCATTACTTCTGATATTACATATAGATATATGATTAATGTATAAATACGCAATCACGTATACGTCCGATGCTAAATTGTTGGCTTTGTTGGAAGGCAAAATATTTAGCCCTATACTGACTGGAACTAGTATATACAACTGAAAACTAGATAAATAATGAAAATCAAGGAATCAATACATGCTATAACAGCAAATCTGAACGAAACCAAAACGCATATTGGTAAAATTATAAATATACAACTTGCATTTCAGCAACTGTTTTGTTAGTAATTATTTATGATGCAATTCGTGAATAAATTATCCTACACAGTGGAACAAATGGGAAGTCAAAATACGTTAATTTCTGGATTAATACTTCTGCAAAGACGATGTCATTATATTGTTTCAATAAACCGACTTAAATAAAAATCAAATTATAACTTTGTAATGATTATAAATGTTTACCTTTTGAAATAAATTTTGATATATTGAATATAGATACAGAAAAAATGAACTCAAATGTTTTATTTGCATGTATTGTATGACGTATTTAATAACATCTATGTGTAAAGAAACTTTTGAATTGCCCGATCTTTTTGTAAAGCATGCTATTTTGACGATTACGAATTCAGACTGTGACACTAAGAAAAATCTTATTAGAATAAAAAAAAATTCTGATCGGCCGTATATAAACCTCCCATCACTTTATTCATATCACATATCAATTTATAAAAAATCGCAACGATGTCAAAATAGAAAGGCTGACCAAAATGTTCAACTTGCGGCTAATGATTGACAGGTATGATTAGACCTTGAGGCTCTTGTGGGGAACGTGGTGTCTAAAGTAAAAAGAAGATTATTCAATTATTTATTTTAGGACTCGTACGATATGTCGATCTGATATGGAAAATTGTGAGTTTCTTTTAATAGCACAAAGAAATAAGACGATAGAAGGGTAACAATTTTGTAACCATAAATGAATGACTCGTATATATAATTTACGGGACTGATTGTATCGAAAGTTTGATGAAAACATTCGATTTTAAACCTTCTTGGTTGGAATGAACATGTTCGATGTATATGCAAATAGGTCTTTATTATATAATGTATTTAAATTATCTTCATCAAATACAATACAATATATAACATGTATCTATGATATCCTCCATAAAGAGTAAATATCTGTACAGGTAAAATTTAATTCTGATCAATCGGGTACAGATTGAATTATTTACGACCTTCCACTTGTATTGTACAAGGAATATCACAGCAGGTGTTAATTACACTAGGACAAGTGTCAAATCAGTATGACATCTTGCCGGATAACTGCATCTTCAGTAAAAAGACTCTATTAGTACAGGAACTGATTTTTTTTCTAAACATGACAATAAAGAAGAATTTTATAAGGTGAGAATATTTGTAGTTGTGTATTGCAAAGTTACCACGTGTATTCATCCTGTTCATTGGTCACATTAAAATAGATTTTTCTTTATTGAACAATTACCAAATTCGATATTTAAATCGTAAGTAACTTTATTATCTCGACTGAAAAGAGTAATAAGACAGTTTTGTTTATCTGACTGTAAACATTGTATATATCACAACGAGCTATTAATAACCGTCGCTCACGCACCAGTAGTTCTATTGACGACTCAATACACACCAGTTTTATCGGACCAACGGCTAATTCCCGTCGACACTGTATAATGGATTATGTAAACATCTATATACAACGATCTATTAATAACCGTCGCTCACGCATCACTGGTTCTATCAATGACTCAATACACACCAGTTTTATCGGACAAACGGCAAATTCCCGCCGACACGGTAAATCTCCGGATGACATGCATAATTTTCTGTGACACAGCAAATTTACGATGAACCTCTAATTATTTTCCGTTCCGCGCAGATTATCCAAAAATCGCGGTCATTTGCCAAATAGGTCTACCAGTGCCACCTCTAATGGATATTTCAAAGTGCCTTCCCTTAGTCCAGTTTATTTTTTAATGGAACAGCCTAGATAAAAGGGTATTATTATACCCGCGTAGGGTATAATGGTTTTTGGTCAACTTTTGAAGAAATGAAAAGATATAAGTTTTCAGTTACATTCAAAACAATCTCACAATAGCATATTTGTTATTTATTAATCAACAGGAAGTAAACGGGAAAGTGATTCACGTTGAGCAAGCGGTAAAACCAAAAAGTGAACGAGAACGAATAAGACGTAGAAGTCCAGACACAAGAATGAGAAACGGAGATGACAGAAGAGGAAGTTCAGACAGGAGAGGTGGTGGAAGTTTCAGAGGCTACAGCAGAGGTGGAATGGGAGATCGACGCAGCAGCTTTGAAAAAAGAGGTGGATATTCAGGGAGACGTGGAACTGGTGGAAGTAGTCGTCGTGGTGGATTTGGTGATCGGAGAGGATTCTCAGGAATGAGTGATAGACGTGGTGGTGGAGGTGGAGGTTTCAGAGGAAGCAGAGGCAGCAGTAGAGGCGGTAGTTCAATGAGGTCTTTATTAATATCTACATATAATCTTAATATTTCAATATGGTCAATTCTGCAGTGAAAATCAAATTCTTGAGTACACATTTGGTAAACAAGTTAATGTTATTAAACATGGATAATTGGTGACATGATTGACTCAGAAAACATAGACTTCAAGAGACAAACATGCAGTCTGGAGCAAAATACAGGGGTCTGTAGTATAGCTCTAAATTGCCTCAGGTTTAAAAAGATGGGAAGAAATTCAATAAAGACAATCTCATCTTGACAATAAAAGATGTAACAAAAGATAACTGCTGGTATTAAAGGTTCCTGACATAAATATGTGACAAGGTAAATAAGTGAAATAAGTTTCTTACCATCTCCTCTGCCCTAAATCATTTTTGATCAGTGGGCTAACAAAATGTACATATTAGATTACACTATAAAAATCTCTATAGGAAAAATACGTCTAGAGTTATGTCCCTTTATAACTTGGAAATTGGCAATTTGTTTCGCTTCCACGCCCTTAAGTTTTCATCCTCCAAATTTTTTGAACTCGTACACAATGCTAAGAATGAAAACTCAGTGTTCGAACTTGGGCAGTAGGTCATTTACTGTTCTAGAGTTATGCCCCTTTCTAGCTTGGAAAATTGCAAATTTTTTCTTTCCTGCACTCTAACTTAAGTTTTCCCCTTCCAAATTATATAAAACTTATTCACAATGCTGAAAACCACAGTTTGCAGATAGAGGTCCAAATTGGGCAGTGAGTCATTTACTGTTCTAGAGTTATGCCCTTTTTAACTTTATAAATTTCAAAGCTTGAGCGGGGGTGATGATGGGAGATTTTAACGACCTTGACTGGCTATACAGCCTTCGCACGGTTGGTAAAGATCGGGGGCATTCGTGTCCTCGGACACTTTCTTCTTTTATTGTCGCGAAAGCGAGACGTAGCGATCCTAGATTCCGTCGGTGGCATCAACATTTAGGTTCAGTCTGTGGTTAAAATATAAAATAGAATGTTAACCCTCGCTAATACATAAAAAAAAAAAAAAAAAACTACATCACAACTACATGTATATTTAGTTAGTTACTAGAATGCAAATTTTCTCTTATTTCAAAACAAGTACTTATAAATCTTGACACTGACATATTAACATTTTTAGACACATGACATTAACCAAATAAATTGTTCATACTTTGAAATAAAAAGGAAGTTTTTACATTGAATGCATGCTTCATTAAGAATAAAATTCCGTTCCTTTTCATATGTAGTGCATTCCATTAAAAAATGAAACTCGTCTTCAACCTGCATATTTTTACACTGCCCACAAAATCTTTTTACCATATGTAAACCTTCATGGATTGTTATGAAACTTGTACAGAAGCTCATCTTCAAGACCAAAAAATAGCATCTAAAGAAAAAGATTTTTTTTTTAAATTCTGTATTTTACTGGTAAATGGACTCACTTTTTAAGTCAACATTACACTTTAACACTGACAGCAGCAATTGCATGCGAGACACAGGGTTTTTCAGAACCCCTTATGAATTTTGTCACATTTTTTCTCAGGAACTTCAAATCGAGACTTTCTGAAATTTGGAATTGCGCTTCATATGAGCATGCTTTACCTTGTGATGCATGTTCAAGTCTATTGCTTAATAACTTCCTGTTTAGCAAATACTTATAGCAAGGTATAATTTGTGAGCAACAGCTGATAGCTCACAGTTTAACTTTCTAATTAAGTTTCTACCTCTGACTTGGGACTCAAATAATTTATTACCTTCAAATATTTATTTATGTGCAATGATTCATCTTGGGGAGTAAAGCAGCTTCTGACAGGAAGTACTCTGATTTATATTTTATGCTTCCTTGGCTTCATTTAAGTTTTACATCTGATTTTATGATGAGGTGAACTCTGTTATGGTAGATTTTCTATGTTCTATGAATGGCGGGTCACCCTATAGTGATCAGTCTGTCCGTCCGTAACAAATTGTGTCCACTCTATATCTAGAGAACCGTTATAATTTCATACTTTATACTTGACATGTATATTAACCGACACCAGAGGGTGTGTCATAATGTTTGTACAACTTCCTAGGCCAAAGGTCAAGGTCAAAAACTGGTTTCAGTTAACAACCCCATGTCCTATGGTAAAGATCATGTCCGCTCTATATCTTGAGAACCGTTATAATTTCAAAGTTTATACTTGACATGTATATTAACCGACACCAGAGGGTGTGTCATAATGTATGTACAACTTCCTAGGTCAAAGGTCAAGGTCAAAAACTTTGGTTTCAGTTGACAACCCCATGTCCTATGGTAAAGATAAAAAAAATTTACCACACATTATTCACAGCGGGGCCCACAGAGATGGCTCCCATCTCATTGATGTCTTGTTATCTCATTTTGTGTCTAATCTATACCAAATGTATTGTAAATGCATTGATCTGCAGTTGAATTCACCATAGATAAGATTAAAATTTATTGACGATAACCAAATTCCAGTTTATATTTATTGTAATAATTCATATTGTGCTTGTTTTTCTAGAATCATAGCTGACACCAAAATTTTCTCTTAAAAATATAATTGACAAAGTGATAATTTAAAAGAAATAAAAATTTGAAATAGAATTCTTTTTATATAAAACTCAGCCTTCAGACATTAAGGTGTCCTAGAGCAATCCAAAAGTTATTAATTTTCTAAAAATGATATAAAAACTTTTTTTTACATCAGTACAACTTTTTATCTTGTAAATTATAGCATTGCATTTTTTCTTTTCAGAAGAGATAGATCACCAATCAGAAGAGACTTTGATCCCCCGCCAAGAAGAAGTAAGTCTTCAAAAAACATGAAAGCAAATGTTCACAACAAAATGATAAAAGGAAAAGTTAATTTGTAGAAGATTTATTAACAAAATATCAACATAAGTTGTAATTGTCCTACCAAAGGGTAAGGCATTTAGGTCTTAATTTCTTCCAATATAAAATGTAAATATTTAGAACATACAATAACACAAACCTGTTAAAACATTATTAATTTTTGTGGTATTCATTAGATTTAGAAAATTTTGATTTTTCTTGAGAATGAGATACTATATAAGTAAGAAAATTGCACTCATACTATTTTCCAAATTTTTCTTGGTTTTCATCAAAACGCATAGATTTTAACAGGGAAAAGTATAAGCAGGCCTTAGAAATTTTGTTAAGCATCAATCAACCTAGGCTGAAAACCTTTCAACAGATACAAAAAAGAAATAATAGATTGCATGAAATATTAATATTGAATTTAACTTTAGGTGAAAGTGACAGATTTGGAGGCCCACCACGTTCAAGAGACTATAACCAATCTCCTCCAAGGGACTACAACAGAGGTCCACCAGTAGACAGGTATGTCAACATTCATAGTAGAAACACAATTTCCGTTCTTAAAGAGACCACAAATATTTATTTGGATTTCAAACACTGTCTCAAACTGTTGTAAGCAACAGTAGTTCATCAACAGTTTTTTTACCGATGTTCAAATAAACAAATCCATTAAGAATATACAATCAACATAAAACACAAAAACTGAGGGAATCTCATGAAATCCAAAGCAAGATCAAGTGCATCAACATGATGATTGACCCATATAACCCTTCCTTTACAACGGTTTGAATTGTGGTAATTTTTGAGAGCCCACAGTTCCCATGGCAGTGTATATGCATTATGATTTGCAGACCAAACATGATCTTGCAGACCAAACATGATCTTGCAGACTGTAACTTGTCCTATCCAGTTAAATATACAGAGATCAACAAGATAACAGGTAGGTCTATGTCCATAGTTGAGACCACAAAGGATACATGTATATTGATAAATGACTTTGAATCAACAGAATGCATGATTTAACTAATTATAATTAAACCAGGAAAGATGATTATTTAATATGAATATATATTTGATTGTCTGTTTCAGTGTAATGCATGGTTTGCTTTTGTTTTATGTTTTGCAGTCGCATGCCCCCTAGTCGAAGTGCTTCATCGAGAGATTACCCCAGTCGTGATTATCCCCCACAGTCTAGAGCCTATACTCCTCCACCTCCTTCTAGGGACTATGGGTCAAGAGACTATGATAGAGGTCCTCCTTCCAGGGACAGAGGCCCACCATCCAGGTATGATATTCAAGTTTCTTTAATTCACATTGTGGGATTGGTTGAAAGAAAAACAAATAAAACAATTTTTCCAGGAATGAATAAGTAATGTTACAAGGTTTCTTTTTATTCACCACATATCATCCTTTTAAACAGCCATTTTAACCTTCCCTGTAAAAAAATGTAAGAGATTAAAATTTTTTTTTCTTTTTAATTAAACAGCCTTAATGTGATCCATTGATCAAAAAGTGAAATACATTATTAAGGTGCATTTCACTCCCACCACCCTGTAAAAGATGTTGATATTTTCATTGTAAATGTTATTCAATTTCCCATACCATCAATCATGATTTAGGCCTTCAAACTATTTCTCAGATGGCCCTTGTAGCACTCGCAGTCTGCATGATTTTTTATATGTTGCTTATGTTGGACATTTAATATATTGTCCTAATATATATTAAAAATTTGATAAAGAAGTATCTTTTAGTTTATTTTGTTAAGCTAATCAACTGTACCTTGTGAGACATTATCACATCCACTGCTAATTAACTTCCTGTTAATCAAATACTTAAAACAGGGTATTCATAAGTGAGCAATAGCTTAGGCCAAACAAAAATATATGTCTGTTTAAGGTTACATCATTTAAAAAAATAGGGTAGGTAGGTTGGTTTATCCATTTTAAATTTTTTGCGACATGATTATGAGTGGTGCGGTCCAAGTTATTCATGGGGCGAGTTTACCTGTATTTTTAATGATTGGATTATTCCGCTTTGTTATTGATTAGAAAAAAATGGCGGCAAAGTGTTTATTTAATCACACGAGTGGTGAATTTCCTTAAAACAGCTGTCATATTCATGATTGTGAACATTAGGATGTATTAGGCAATTGATTTCTTTTTTGGCAACTCTAATTTCGCTTTTGACACATGTTCAATTAATTTTTTCACTTTACGACGGAAATAAAATGACTTAGGGTCGCCGCTCAAAAGCAGGGCCGGTCAGGTAACTGTAAACAGACATATTTTTGTTTTGGCCTTATAGTTCATCTTTTTAGCTCACCTGACCTGAAAGGTCAAGTGAGCTTTTCTCATCACTTTGCGTCCGTCGTTCGTCGTCCTGCGTCCGTCGTCCGTCGTCCGTAAACTTTTACAAAAATCTTCTCCTCTGAAACTACTGGGCCAAATTTAACCAAACTTGGCCACAATCATCATTGGGGTATCTAGTTTTAAAAATGTGTGGCGTGACCCTGTCAACCAACCAAGATGGCCGCCACGGCTAAAAATAGAACATAGGGGTAAAATGCAGTTTTTAGCTTATAACTCAAAAACCAAAGCATTAAGAGCAAATCTGACATGGGGTAAAATTGTTTATCAGGTCAAGATCTATCTGCCCTAAAATTTTCAGATGAATCGGACAACCCGTTATTGGGTTGCTGCCCCTGAATTGGTAATTTTAAGGAAATTTTGCTGTTTTTGGTTATTATCTTGAATATTATTATAGATAGAGATAAACTGTAAACAGCAATAATGTTCAGCAAAGTAAGATTTACAAATAAGTCAACATGACCGAAATGGTCAGTTGACCCCTTTAGGAGAAATTGCCCTTTATAGTCAATTTTTAACCATTTTTCGTAAATCTTAGTAATCTTTTACAAAAATCTTCTCCTCTGAAACAACTGGGCCAAATTAAACCAAACTTGGCCACAATCATCATTGGGGTATCTAGTTTAAAAAATGTGTGGCGTGACCCGGCCAACCAACCAAGATGGCCGCCACAGCTAAAAATAAAACATAGGGGTAAAATGCAGTTTTTGGCTTATAACTCAAAAACCAAAGCATTTAGAGCAAATCTGACATGAAGTAAAATTGTTTATCAGGTCAAGATCTATCTGCCCTAAAATTTTCAGATGAATCGAACAACCTGTTGTTGGGTTGCTGCCCCTGAATTGGTAATTTTAAGGAAATTTTGCTGTTTTTGGTTATTATCTTGAATACTATTATAGATAGAGATAAACTGTAAACAGCAATAATGTTCAGCAAAGTAAGATTAACAAATAAGTCAACATGACTGAAATGGTCAGTTGACCCCTTTAGGAGTTATTGCCCTTTATAGTCAATTTTTAACAATTTTTCGTAAATCTTAGTAATCTTTTACAAAAATCTTCTCCTCTGAAACTACGTGGCCAAATTAAACCAAACTTGGCAACAATCATCATTTGGTTATCTAGTTTTAAAAATGTGTGGCGTGACCTGGTCAACCAACCAAGATGGCCGCCACGGCTAAAAATAGAACATAGGGGTAAAATTCAGTTTTTGGCTTTTAACTCAAAAACCAAAGCATTTAAAGCAAATCTGACATGGGGTAAAATTGTTCATCAGGTCAAGATCTATCTGCCCTGAAATTTTCAGATGAATCGGACAACCCGTTATTGGGTTGCTGCCCCTGAATTGGTAATTTTAAGGAAATTTTGCTGTTTTTATACGACCGCAAAAATTAAAAATTTTTTGGTCGTATATTGGTATGACGTTGGCGTCGTCGTCGTCGTCGTCGTCCGGCGTCGTCTGGCGTCGTCCGAAGACACATTGGTTTTCGCACTCTAACTTTAGTTTAAGTGAATGGATCTCCATGAAATTTCACCATAAGGTTCAATACCACGAAAGGAAGGTTGGGATTGATTTTGGGGGTTATGGTACCAACAGTTAAGGAATTAGGGGCCAAAAATAAGCATTTTTGTAATTTTCAGACAATAACTTGTGTGTAAGTGTATAGATCTCTCTGACATTGTACCACAAGGTTCCATATCACAAAGGAAAGGCTGTAATTGATTTTGGGGGTAATTGCCTCAAAATTTTAGGAATTAGGGGCCAAAAAAGGGGCAAAAAACAAGCATTTTTCTAGTTTCATGACAATAACTTGTGTGTAAGTGTTTGGATATTTCTGAAATTGTACTACAAGGTTCCATATCACAAAGGGAAAGCTGGAATTGAGTTTGGGGGTAATTGCCCGAAACGTTTAGGAATTGGGGGCCAAAAAGGGGCCAAAAATAAGCATTTTTCTAGTTTCCAGACAATAACTTGTGTTCAAGTGTATGGATTTCTCTGAAATTGTACTGCAAGGTACCATACCACAAAGGGAAGGCTGGGATTGAGTTTGGGGGTGATGAATCATAAGGGGGTTCAAAAAATTTGGGGGGGGAGATTTTTTTTTTTTTTTTTTTTCTTTTTTTCCTTTTTTTTTTCTTTTAAAATTTTCCATTTTAAGTTGATTATTTCTGATTTATATTTAAAAGCAAATAATAATGATATGGTAGGAGATACACACCAAACAGGATGTGTAAATTATTATATAATAAGTATTGTGCAATAGCAAGAAATTTTCAATTGCACAGTATTGCACAATAGCAAGAAATCTTCAATTGCACAGTATTGCGCAATAGCAAGAAATCTTCAATTGCACAGTATTGCGCAATAGCAAGAAATATCCAATAGCACAATATTGCGCAATAGCAAGAAATTGTCAATTGTACAGTATTGCGCAATAGCAAGAAATATTCAATTGCACAGTGTTGTGCAAAAGAAGATACTTCGTATAAATTGCTTATTTCTTGATCAATTTCAATGGGGTTTTATTCTTGAATTCTTGGGGTTCTTTAATATGCTGAATCTAACCGTGTATTAAGTTTTTGGATTTTGGGCCCCGTTTTTAAATTGGTCCACATTGAGGTCCAAAGGGTCCAAAATTTAACTTTGTTTGATTTCATCAAAAATTGAATTATTGGGGTTCTTTGATATGCCGAATTTAACCGTGTATTTAGATTTTTAATTTGGGGTCCCGTTTTTTAAATTGGTCTACATTAAGGTCCAAAGGGTCCAAAATTAAACTTAATTTGATTTTAACAAAAATTGAATTCTTGGGGTTCTTTGATATGCTGAATCTAAACATGTGTTTAGATTTTTGATTATGGGCCCAGTTTTCAAGTTGGTCCAAGTTGGGGTCCAAAATTAAACTTTGTTTGATTTCAACAAAAATTGAATATATGGGGTTATTTGATATGCAAAATCTAAACATGTATTTAGATTTTAGATTTTTGGCCCAGTTTTCAAGTTGGTCCAAATTGGGGTCCAAAATTAAACTTTGTTTGATTTCAACAAAAATTGAATATATGGGGTTCTTTGATATGCTGAATCTTACCATGTATTTAGATTTTTTATTTGTGGGCCTGCTATCAAATTGGTTCATATTGAGGTCAAAAGGGTCCAAAATTAAACTTTGTTTGATTTCATAAAAAATTGAATTATTGGGGTTCTTTGATATGCCAAATCTAACTGTGTATTTAGATTTTTAATTTTGGGTCCTGTTTTTTAAATTGGTCTACATTAAGGTCCAAAGGGTCCAAAATTAAACTTAGTTTGATTTTAACAAAAATTGAATTTTTGGGGTTCTTTGATATGCTGAATCTAAACATGTGTTTAGATTTTTAATTATGGGACCAGTTTTCAAGTTGGTCCAAGTTGGGGTCCAAAATTAAACTTTGTTTGATTTCAACAAAAATTGAATATATGGGGTTCTTTGATATGCTGAATCTAAACATGTATTTAGATTTTAGATTTTTGGCCCAGTTTTCAAGTTGGTCCAAATTGGGGTCCAAAATTAAACTTTGTTTGATTTCAACAAAAATTGAATATATGGGGTTCTTTGATATGCTGAATCTTACCATGTATTTAGATTTTTTATTTGTGGGCCCGCTATCAAATTGGTTCATATTGAGGTCAAAAGGGTCCAAAATTAAACTTTGTTTGATTTCATCAAAAATTGAATAATTGGGGTTCTTTGATATGCCAAATCTAACCGTGTTTTTAGATTTTTAATTTTGGGTCCCGTTTTTTAAATTTGTCTACATTAAGGTCCAAAGGGTCCAAAATTAAACTTAGTTTGATTTTAACAAAAATTGAATTCTTCGGGTACTTTGATATGCTGAATCTAAACATGTGTTTAGATTTTTGATTATGGGACCAGTTTTCAAGTTTGTCCAAGTTGGGGTCCAAAATTAAACTTTGTTTGATTTCAACAAAAATTGAATATATGGGGTTCTTTGATATGCTGAATCTAACCATGTATTTTGATTTTGGACATTGGACCATAATAGGTAAATTAAAAAAATTGAAGTTCTTAGACCACATTCTTTCTGTGTCAGAAACCTATGCTGTGTCAAATATTTAATCACAATCCAAATTCAGAGCTGTATCAAGCTTGAATGTTGTGTCCATACTTGCCCCAACTGTTCAGGGTTCGACCTCTGCGGTCGTATCAAGCTGCGCCCAGCGAAGCATTTTATTGGTTATTATCTTGAATATTATTATAGATAGAGATAAACTGTAAACAGCAATAATGTTCAGCAAAGAAAGATTTACAAATAAGTCAATATAACCGAAATGGTCAGTTGACCCCTTTAGGAGTAATTGCCCTTTATAGTCAATTTTTACCATTTTTCGTAAATCTTAGTAATCTTTTACAAAAATCTTCTCCTCTGAAACAACTGGGCCAAATTAAACCAAACTTGGCCACAATCATCATTTGGTTATTTAGTTTTAAAAATGTGTGGCGTGACCTGGTCAACCAACCAAGATGGCCGCCACGGCTAAAAATAGAACATAGGGGTAAAATTCAGTTTTTGGCTTTTAACTCAAAAACCAAAGCATTTAAAGCAAATCTGACATGAAGTAAAATTGTTTATCAGGTCAAGATCTATCTGCCCTGAAATTTTCAGATGAATCGGACAACCCGTTGTTGGGTTGCTGCCCCTGAATTGGTAATTTTAAGGTAATTTTGCTGTTTTTGGTTATTATCTTGAATATTATTATAGATAGAGATAAACTGTAAAAAACGATAAATGTCGGCAAAGTAAGATCAACAAATAAGTCAACATGACCGAAATTGTCAGTTGACCCCTTTAGGAGTTATTGCCCTTTATAGTCAATTTTAACCATTTTTTCGTAAATCTTAGTAATCTTTTACAAAAATCTTCTCCTCTGAAACTACTGGGCCAAGTTAATTATAGATAGAGATAATTGTAAGCAGGAAAAATGTTCAGTAAATTAAGATGTACAAACACATCACCATCACCAAAACACAATTTTGTCATGAATCCATCTGCGTCCTTTGTTTAATATTCACATAGACCAAGGTGAGCGACACAGGCTCTTTAGAGCCTCTAGTTTTATATTGTGAAGGAGAAGATTTATTTGTCATTTGTTTTTTTCCAGTAGAAATTGAGATATGAAGACCAGACTTAAATGCAAAGCTATCTTATTTCAAGTAAATACTTTATCCCTGTAGTGTAATCTGTCACCATTGCAAGATATCACATTGGCCAAATTTCTGATGGTCTTTTGTGAAAAGTTTTTAAATGATGAGATTTTCTTAATTTGAATTTTTTCGAAATACTGAGATTTTCTACCCAAGGAATAGATTACCTTTGCTGTCTTTGGCTAAACCTTTTGGAAGTATGGGTCTTCAAAGCTCTTCAAATTAGTACTTTAATTTGTCTTTTTGCCTTTTTTGATTTCATTGATGAATCTTTTGTAGACGAAAGGCACATCTGGCATACAAAATTTGAATCCTTGTATCAATGATGAGTTTATTTGATCAATACAGTCTCCTGTCCGGTTTGATTCCATTACATAAGGATGTAAAAGTAAAGGTCACAAAAGCATTTACTGTAGACCAATCTTTTTCCAGAACTTTTGCACTAAGATTAATTTGACAGAGTGAATAAACATTCATGAAATCATAATTTTTTTAAGCAAATTTCTGCCAAGATTGTTGCTCTATTTCAAATTACACATTTAATTATTCCTAAAAAATGTCTGTTTATTCCTGGAAGAAATGTTTTTATGAGATTTTGTTCTGTCATAATGTTCAGTTTTGAAATTGAATATTAACATTATAGCAGGGACTATGGACCACCAAGCAGAGAATTCAATGGTGGGCCAAGCAGAAGCAGCTTTGGATCAAGGGAGCCTATGAGTTCAATGTCAAGAGATGACTTCCCCAGCAGCCGGGACACATACAGTAGGGATCCTCCCGCACGAGACTACCCAGTGTCCAGGTATGTACCTGGTTCTTCTAGGGACTCCTCTGGACTCCGTGACAGTTATGGAGGCAGCGCTATGGTCCGTGATCTAACTCCAACTAGGTAAGTGTGGATTTGGTGTGGCATGGATGATAATCAATATAACCATTGTATTGTAATCCCAGTCTTTTCCTAGTTATACTGTAGTAACTAATGCACTTAACTCTCATTTTCCCAGCAAATAATTGTCTTAATAGTAGTATTTGTGGTGGTGTTATTAACACTCAAGGATCAGTGGCATTCTAGTAATGTTCAGTGAAGAAAATTATAAATTCACAGCTTTAAGAAATGGAAAAGCTTTTTTTTTTTATAGTAATACCTGAGGCAAAATAGTTTTTTATACGACTGCAAAAAAATTTTGCGGTCGTATATTGGTATGATGTTGTCGTCGTCGTCTTCTGAAAACACATTGGTTTTCGCAATCTAACTTTAGTTTAAGTGAATGGATCTCTATGAAATTTTACCATAAGGTTCAATACCACAAAAGGAAGGTGGGGATTGATTTTGGGGGTTATGGTACCAACAGTTGAGGAATTAGGGGCCAAAAATAAGCATTTTTGTAACTTCCAGACATAACTTGTGTGTTAGTGTATGGATCTCTCTGACATTGTACCACAGGGTTCCATATCACAAAGGGAATGCTGGGATTGATTTTGGGGGTAATTGCCTCCAAATTTTAGGAATTAGGGGCCTAAAAGGGGCAAAAAACAAGCATTTTTCTAGTTTCATGACAATAACTTGTGTGTTAGTGTATGGATCTCTCTGACATTGTACCACAAGGTTCCATATCACAAAGGGAATGCTGGGATTGATTTTGGGGGTAATTGCCTCCAAATTTTAGGAATTAGGGGACAAAAAGGGGCAAAAAACAAGCATTTTTCTAGTTTCATGACAAAAACTTGTGTGTAAGTGTATGGATCTTTATGAAATTGTACTACAAAGTTCCATATCACAAAGGGAAAGCTGGAATTGAGTTTGGGGTTAATTGCCCAAAACGTTTAGGAATAAGGGGCCAAAAATAAGCATTTTTCTAGTTTCCAGACAATAACTTGTGTTCAAGTGTATGGATCTCTCTGAAATTGTACTGCAAGGTACCATACCACAAAGGGAAGGCTGGGATTGATTTTGGGGGTAATTGCCTCAAAATTTTAGGAATTAGGGGCCATAAAGGGGCAAAAAACCAAGCATTTTTCTAGTTTCAGGACTTTACTTGTGTGTAAGTGTATGGATCTTTATGAAATTGTACTACAAGGTTCCATATCACAAATGGAAAGCTGGGTTTGAGTTTGGGAGTAATTGCCCTAAACGTTTAAGAATTTGGGGCATTTTTCTAGTTTCCAGACAATTACTTGTGTTCAAGTGTATGGATCTCTCTGAAATTGTACTGCAAGGTACCATACCACAAAGGGAAGGCTGGGATTGAGTTTGGGGGTGATGAATCATAAGGGGGTTCAAAAAATTGGATGGGGGGGATTTTTTTTTCCTTTTTTTTCTTTAAAATTTTCCATTTTAAATTGGTTATTTCTGATTTATATATAAAAGCAAATAATAATGATATGGTTTGAATAGGTAAATTAAAATTTTTTAAGTTCTTAGACCACATTCATTCTGTGTCAGAAACCTATGCTGTGTCAAATATTTAATTACAATCCAAATTCAGTGCTGTATCAAGCTTGAATGTTGTGTCCATACTTGCCCCAACTGTTCAGGGTTCGACCTCTGCGGTCGTATCAAGCTGCGCCCCAGCGGAGCATTTTATTGACACAGGTGTTTTTTATCTCTGTTGATGAAGTCATTGGTGCATACACCTATAGTAGACCATTGATATTGATATTTTGTATCACCATCCATGTATCTCAATTTTCAGCAAAGTGAACCTGCACAACTTAAAGCCACTGTCCTAGCTTACCCAAAATAGAGGGTGGAGCTCCCCTTTGTTCTTTCTGTGCACCCTTTTTCTGTCCTTATGGTCCTTTCCAATACATTTATGTTTTCTGAAGGAAAATGAATACCTTTCAATGTAAAATAACTTATTTGAACTACTGAAAAAGCATTTACATGTGTACTACGCAAAAATACTGTAAATCAGCAAAAAAAAAAACAGTTGCATATTAAATGATAATTGTGAAGAAATTGACCTTTATTGAACTTAATGACTTTACTCAAATTAAGTAATTAAAGAATACAAACTACAAAGTTGAATCTTAAAGTCCATGGTGAAGAATGAATGCATAATGGGCCAACAGAAAATATGGATTATGATTATATAAACAATATGTGGTAAGATAGCAAAAATTCTGTGCTAGGCAAAATGCTAGAAGTCCTATGAACACTTGATGCTACATAGTTAAAGTAAGTTATACCATGCTGTATTTTGCTTATGTTAAAGTTAGTCTTTTCCAATAAACACTTATCATTTATTATTTTTTAAAAAATCTTTAAAAATCATAGGATTTGTTAAGTTCGACGAGGGTGTTATTTTTTCACTACTAACTGATTAAATATTGGTCATTAAGGTTATAACTTTCACTATATACTGTTCTCTCTACATGTATGTCAATTCTGTTTCACTGTTCAACAATTCTCTTGTCTTGTAGAACTTAAAAAGATATGTTTTCTTCTTGGATATAAAAGTAGATGTTGGATATTGGTCATTGAGACAGCTACACAACAACTAAAAAAATCATAAGTCATCTTAGAGGTCAACAATAGATACTGCATAATGTCCAGCTACAAATTCTATAATTACAAATAAGCAATATATAACTGAAGACCAACTCTGACGAGGTTCCTGGCATTGGCATGCATGTGATTGGTTGAAACATTTTTTTCAGACCTCAATTCTCTCCCTTATAATCTCCATTAGTAGGTTAACAAAAGGAACATATAAAGAAAATACAATAAAAACAGTATAGAACTTACTCTAACCACAGCAAAAGTGATCAGCAATACTGATCTGATACAATATGAATATGGTTGAAACCATCAATTACCTCATGATAGGTGTTATTGCTATACAATGATATTTTTTAACCATGTCAGCAGTTTTATTGGCCTTTGTTGCATGTTTACACCAACAAAAAAATATATAATTAAGAACAAATTATTATTAACTGTAATAAAAATTCCTTCCAAAGCATTTTTGAAAAAGATATTAAAATGACATATTTTTGCCAAGTAAGTTAAGTTATAAATTCCTGCTGGTAGAATCATTCTTCCTATATTTGTGATAATATTTAGTTTTAAAGTTGAAGCCAGTGTATGATATCTATAGCTATGCAGCAATAGTGCTTATAGTAATAAAAGTGAAACAAAGAATTGTTTAATAGTTCAAGCAATTATTATGTGGATGTGATTGAGGGTCAGTTGCTGATTTATTATTGCCACATTGTAGAGATTTTGGTAGCAGTAGAGGCCCACCAGCAAGATCTTATGATGATAGAGGTGCACCCTCAAGAGACAGAGGACCTCCACCACGGGATTATGACTCATACAGAGGTAAGTTTTAAATATGAAGTAAAAAAAGATGCAATAAGTTCTCTAATGAATTTTACACAATTTAAAAAAAATTCTTGGATATTAGATTAGACAAGATGAAAACATAGAATCATGGCTAGGTCTACATGTCTGTCAAACAGGGGGTCGTACTTTGACCTATAATGGTTTACTTTTACAAATTGTGACTTGGATGGAGAGTTGTCTCATTGGCACTCATACCACACCATCTTATATCTATTCACCTGACCTTGACCTCATTTAATGGATGGGTGATCAACATTAAGACCATTTCTCAGATTCTATAAGAAATATGTCTACTTTATTCAATGTATGGAATGATTTTGAGGTGTACGAGTCTGCCTGGCCAGGTTCATCTAACTTCAACCTCAATGGCATGGTTCATTTGTCAGCGTTAAGTTTCCCTTGTTGGGTCTGTTTCTCAGATACTATAAGTAAAAGATCAAGTAATTTGGTGTTTGGAATGATTGCAAGGTGTACATGTTTGTCTTTGATAATGTTAGGTTTATATGATAAAATTATCTGCAGAAAAACTTTCAACACAAAATTCAATCATGATCAGTAAAACAAGCAAGACAGCTCAGATTTTCTGCTATTGTGTTGGCTCATGTATTATTATACTGATTTCAGATAGTGGAAGATCAAGTGGTCCACCTCCAAGCAGATTTAATGGACCAGGTAATGTTTGTCAGGTTGTCAGAAACTCTACTTTCATCTTCCTTTCATTAACCTCAACTTTAAAACAGAAATTTCAAACAAAAGCTTAAAAAAAATGTTAGTTTACTGAGAACATGTAAAAATAGTTTACTGGGAACATGTAAAAAGGAATGCTTTTTAAATCAAATGATACCCAAAAAATTTCTTTTTTAATTTACTACTGTCAAATAAAACCATATCAACTCCAAGAAAATACAAATAAATGTCTTCTGTTTCATTTTGATATGACAATAATGTGTTCTAATAGTTAATTTCTCTAAGTAGTCATAATTTTTTCCAAAGGTTTTTGTCTATATTAGATTTTATGACTATGGCATCATAAACAAACATGTAAGCAAAAGGGACATCTCACTTTTTGTTCACGCTGACAGATATCTCCCCTGAAACTATCAAACCCCTTTAACTGCAATAATTTAACTTTCTATCATAACAGATAGTGGAAGATCAAGTGGTCCTCCCCCTAGTAGAAGTGGCCCTCCACCAAGTAGAAATGGACCTCCCCCAGGAAGGTTTAGCAGCCTTGGTATGTATCTATGACTCCTTTGTCGACTGTGATTTGTCAATTTCCTTTTGAGCTTTTGAGGCAGTTTGTAGATTTTTGAATTTATGCATTTTTGATAAGACTGTTTGTCTATCAATTTGATAAAAATGAATTGTTTTATGGATCCATTCCAACTTTTTATGTTGACCATGAGCAGACTGATAATTTTTTGCTGTCTATTTTTTTCCTTTTTACTAAGTATTGATTGTTAAAGTTATTTTTTCATGCAGTAATTCTTGACAAGTTCACAGTTCTATTTGAAGTACCTCCATAAACAATTGATAGTTCCATCATCAACTGAAATCCCAGAAAGCGAGCCTCTTTTTTTTGTGTGGTGATTTTGGAGAAATGTGTTGTACCCCAATTCAAGGAGTGTATAGTATCTGCTCATGCTGCTATTCCATTGATATGATATTTGATCAAGAACTTCTAAATGCTGAGTTGTACTGTGTAAGCCATTTTCAGATCTGCTAGGCAGTCATTTCCTGTTTTATAATTTAATTTTTGATATTATTTGTGGGATATCAATGTACATGGATTTTATAGGTATAGGTGAAAGACAAATATTCATAAGGAATCTAAGCAGACTTTGGCAAAACAATGAAATCAAAAATACCAAGAAAATTGGTACCCACGAAAATAATGAATCCATAGTGAACCCGTTTTCATCAATATCTGATAACAACTGGGTGTATTCATAATTCTTTGCACAATATCACAAGACACATCTTGTTCATTAAATGCTTCGAAAAGCTCTTTTGTTTATTTACTAAAAGTAGGACATAGACATATAATTTTTTGGGTATAATATTGGTGAGCTGGAATTAAAAGCAAGAGTTTCAAAGGGATAAAAAATGAAATTTCAGTAGAGATTTTATGTAATTTTATGCTTACATCTGACAGAAGACAAGTATTAGATTTCCTGTGGTCGGAAAATTCGTAGAGGTTTTTATAGGTTTTAGGATAACAGTATATTATTACCCATGACATTATAGTTGTATAAGTAGGATATAAACTTGATTGAATAGACTCTCTAGGCCCTGTAATTACTGACTAGTGCTTGTGAATAGTCTTTTTTTTTATTCTGGTTAGGAAAATGTATATATTTAGTGTAGATAAAAAACCATAATGAAAAAAATACTTTATTCTCATCCAACTTTTAACTATCAAAATTGAGTCAGGGCAGGCACATTAAATATTATTCTTTGTATTTTGAATGTATTTTTCCCTTTAAATCGGAAAAATTTAAAGTTGAATTCTGATGGTCAGTTACCTATTAAAATGTTGTGCAGGAATAAGCATATTTCTTTTATTATGGTTTAATAACGTTTACATAGTTAGAGTTTTGTATTTGTTTCTATAATGAAAATTTCATTGATAATTTGACAATGAAGGTAAGAGCAATAGTAAAAGGGAAAGATGTGCAATAAATTCTAGGATATAGCAATAATGGTAAGCAATTCAAATACTAAGACAAATGGAAATACACTAGTTTGAGGAAATAATAAATCAATGGATGAAGAAAGGAATGATGGATAAATACTAAACATAAATTGATACTGATAAGTTGACAATGGATATGATGGAATAAAAGGATAATCCTATACAACATACATGAAATTCAAATGAAACCTATATGTTGCACACACTTCATGGAAAATGCTGCTTTTTGATGAAAATCTCACAACTGTGGAATGGAATTCATTTATCTGTCTGGATAACTTTGGTATGAAGGAACTACCATATAACATCATTACTAAATGAACAACTGAAATGACTGAAGCATTTTACTTAAATTAATATTGGAAAAAAATTATTTTGCCTTGGAACAGGATTGCATCTGCAATACATTGGAATGTATAATAGCGGAATTAATGAAATGATAAAACTGAACTAACATATCATAGATATATGCAATTGGAATGGATATAAAATTATTGTTATACTGACACAAGATGCGTTCTGGACACTTATTTATGAGCAAAGGATGGAACATGTCATTGCAAGGAAAATAGTGGAATTGAAACCTGCCTTATCCGTTGGTCTTTTCAGTCTTAAATTTATTAATTATATCAGTTAACCTAATATATTGAAAATATGATAATAAATTTAAAATGCCTTGTTCCATTAATTTGTATTTAAATTCAGTCACTAGTTGAACCATGATAAGTAATTTTCTGAATTAATTTGATTAAATCTTCCCCAAAAAGATTAAATAAGATGATTCTCAAAAGCACATAGGACTTGCCTTATTATATAACGTCAGGCTTTTACTTGGTAGTCTTCAAATATTAAGGAATGTCAAAAGATAAAAATCTGAATTAAAAATGATCAGAAATAACACAACATTGTGAAAAGATATAATAAAACTTTCAGGGAAGAAATCTACATAAATTCAAAAGATTCCCATATCATTCCTGTTAGCTGGATGTCTCTATAGATATTTTTTTATTATAGATAAGGTACATGCCTTCACCCTATATATGAATTCATATATAAATCAGTTATAGTTGAATAAGAATATTTATAACTCGAAGGACATCAAAGTAAAAAAAAATACAGTAGTAGCTTTTCTTTGTTTATTAACCCTTTAAATGTTTCAACATTTGTAAGGCAGTGACATTAGCTCTAACACCATTCAGATTTCTGTGCATTTCATCTAGTGATAAGCACAGTCAATTAAGATGAGATGTTTCTAGATACATATTTGAAAGTTTATAAAAAAAATACTGAATTTTTTCCAAACAAATTGTAAGTATGGAATAAACAGATGAAGATTTGATGCATAACTAATAGGTAAATAATTTCAGGTCAGCATTTTATCAACAGATTACAAATTTAGGACGATCTCAACAAGTCTACTTTCGTTTAATTTGCCGGTAATAAAGTGCTTCTTACAGGTACATTACATGTGCATTACATGTACAGCCAGATTGGATTAGTGAACATTGGATAAATCAGGCAAGTCATTATTTTTCAAACTGAAATAACAATTATCTTTTACAATCTGCAAATTTTAGGTTCTTCAAGAGAGACTTCAAATATTTCAAGACCATCAAGAGGTCCTCCTAGGGGACCTCCAAGTCCAAGGGGACCACCCCCTAGGGAAGATAGAAGTAGGGACAGAGAAAGCTTTAGTGCTGGAAGTCGAAGACCTGCTCCATCTGATAGCAGAGGACCGCCTGTTAAAAGAGCAAGGCCTGGAGGCCCACCAAGAGGAGGTGGACCTCCATTCAGACGTTAAGTTTTAAAAACTTTTAAAAGTCAGTCATTATGTAAAAAGCTTCATGTCAACTTTGATATCATCGGGACAGAAAATCGTATGGACCGTAACCATTTTATGCTTTTATGTACAACTTTAACATTTTATATTCAATCTAACTGTTGTCTACCCTGATCATGTTTGTGAATAGACAAAAATAAATAAATTGGGATATACAGATAACATATACATATTTTATTCTGCTAGGCCAAGAATTAAACTTCTATGCAAGTTAATCTTCATTACTGATAAGTGCAGGGTATGTGCATGACATAAATGACGTATATCGATTTGTCATAATATTAGTATTGGAATGGTCATGAAAGTTATTTAAATGGCTAAAACCGACTTAACAAAATAATTAATAGCTACTAGTAGGGCTGTCAAGATATGCTGGCATACCATGACATAACATAAACTGCATATTGCAACTTACAAAGTGGCAAACATTCGAAATGGCATGCTGGACATATTGAAGAATTTCAGTCGTGATCTCTACTTCTTTAATCAAGCACTAAACACATCTTAATGATGCAAGAAAAGGTTATCTAATATTATCAGATACAAACGTCAACAAGAAAAAGTTATCTAATATTATCAGATACAAACATCAAAGAAAGTAGTCTTCAGACTTAAGTCCTCTAATTAGCAAGAAATAAGTTATCAGAGAACATCTGAAAATGTGACGGAATATACTTGTAAAATTCCTTGGAGTTGTGATCCATACAAATTTATACAGTATTGCAATATACCAGTGTACCAATTTATTGTGACATCCCTGACAATCTATCAGTGTACTATTAAATTGTGACACCCCTTGCAGCCAATATTCATCTGTTCAGTTGTAAGAAATTATCAATTTCCGTGCATTTTATAGGTTACTTTCTACCTGAAAGATCTGTGCGTTTGTCTTTTGTTTTTCTTGGGAGCTCAGGACAGGAGTCTCAATTTATTCTTTGCACATAATCCAAATTCATGTGTTTTCTTGGTTGGAAGTTGGGTAAGAAAAGATAATTTTCATATCTATGAATAACCACTACATTTTTAAGAGCAATAATTTACATGCTCCGAACAGTTGAAAGACAAGATAACTGCAAGATCTCCGTCAAGAAAATATTTATACATAAGCTAAATGTTGGCTATCAGTTGGCGACTCATTATTACAGTGTTATGAGAGATGAGCTACAAATTAGAAATCCGTCTAGTGAAGAAGAACTTATCTCAATGGTCAAGTGTTGAGAATACCTTGGAGCTCAATGTGATATCAGAATATCATTTGACATGTCTCTCAATAGAATGTACACATCTACAATATTATCCTGTTTAGTATACAAAAGAACATAACCAGAATGTTATTCTGATTGGTATACACCAAGAACCATTGCAGGTTTCAGAACCTTAATCAGATTAATATACGCCAAGAACCGTTTCAGAACCTTATTCCTGCATAATATAAACGTAAGACCCGTTTCAGAATCTGATTTCGATTAATATACACCAGAACAGTTTTAATGTATATTCAGAAACTCATTTCATCTGATATGCACCAAGAATGATTTCAGAATGTTATTCTGTTAACCACAACTGTTTCAATACATACTCAGAATCTTATTCTAAATGATTAACACCAGAACAGTCATTGCTGGTAGATTTTTAATCCAACAGTTACAGCAATATAAACCGACATTGGTATTTAACACAAAACATATACCAGTCTTGTTTTTCGCATAAACCATTCTTTGAAAGGTATCAATCAGCACCACCAAGGATCAAACTGAAGAGGAAAGAGCTAGGATCAACCTATAAAACATCTGCTTTAGACAAGTAAAGGTCAACTAATAAAAAGGTTTCATCCTCAAATACAACAATGTCAATAAGTTAATTGCATCAGCTGTAATAAGAAGTAACTGAAAGGGCAAAAACTCATCAGAGCTACAAAACTTATAATTTGGCATTCCTGACAAGTTCTTCAACATAAGACTCAGTCGTATAACAGGTTCAGGGAGGATCTTCTACATGATGATTTAATATTATTGTTGTTTGTTCAATTGTGAATTTGAGGAAAGAATTTCTGAAGTTTGGAGGTGCATGCAAAGTTAAATCTACAAATCCACACATCATCTACTTCATTATGTTTTACAGAAAGGAAAATAGATCATTCTTTCTATATAAACGTAAATTGTAATGATCATTGCTCAATGATGAGATGAAAAACTGTATTCCCATGGTATTGCTTAGCCTCGTCTAAATTGATATGTATGTTGGAGTTGTAATAGATTTGATCACAACATCCTATTTGGTTTTTAATCGGTCGTCAACTTTTTAACATAATTGAGTTTTTATTCAGAGGACAAAAATTTAGCTGCAGAACTTGTTGCTTGTGCTGAATGGTTACAATTTGATTAAGACTCATCAGTTGCACACGAATGTAGATTATTCCTTGAATATGTACGAGTACCTTCAGTCAACAAGCATGCAAGAAAAGGCACTACAGATTTCTTGACAAATGATTTTTCCCTGTCTCTGAAAATTTATTTGATCCAAAGTATTGGTTTTTTACTCAAAAAAAGTACACACCTTCAACATTTTAATACCAAAGGTGACTGCTTGCACTTGTGTCATGATAATCTATAATTGTGCATATGTCACTACAATATAATTTACATGCATAGAATGAAAGAAACTTATTTGAAAATTCTTGGAGACCGTTTTATGCTAGTTGTAATATTTATGACGTAGTGGTAAAGGAAAATTACAACTATTTTCACCTGTTTCTTGTTTGTATATGGAAATCGTATATTAGAAGACCTTAAATACTTTCCTCTGGGATTGTTGGATACCTTAGATATGAAAACAAGAGAAAAAATATGAAATAAATCTAATAGACTTGATCTGAAGTCTTTCTGATCACTCAACATGCTTGATTACTTGTCAGTCTGATATGACATGTCAGAAATGAATTCAAAATTTACTTCATACCTGGACTACAAGTATATGCTTCTACCAATATACATCTGATATGAAGAAAAGCATCTGTAACTAACACCATGTTAAGAAGACTGAAAAAGATATTTTCACTGCAACAATTGTCTTAGCAGGAAGTCCATGTTGTTATTTCTAATTGCCTGAAGCAATTATTTATAATCTCACAAAATATAACATGGGTGAAATATGAAACAGCTTTTAAATCTTGACTCTCATCGAAAGTTATGAGTGTCTTTTTATACACTGATTGAAATCAGCTGTCCAGTGTACAGTTTTGAGTGGCTCATTTGTTTTTTAAATCATCTATGATTAATTTCAATTCAAAAAGGAATACTGAAATTTATTTGCTCCTACAGCACACATTTATTTATTTTTTGCTGAGGCTAGGGTGCCTTCTAGTTTAAATACACAAGTGAGTTTGATGAATGATATTTAGCACTTGAAAATACAAAAGACAATCAAAGACTTAAATTTATGATCACATGTGTAAAAACAATGATCATAACTAAACAATACAACACTCCAAGCACAATTGAAGCTTGTGACATGATCTTCAAAATGAGCATCCACAAACTCATATGTGATCAATTACTGTTACAGCTGTATGCAAGTTTAATAAGTCCTCATACATGTCGTAAGGCAAAGTAAGGCATATTTTATTAAAGTTAATTAACAAAGCAATAAAAAGCGTTCAATAGGGTGCTCCAGAATGTATGCAATTCTGCTTTTCATATTGTACCATTATAGTAAGATGTGACCATTAGTTGTGCAGCAAGAAAGTAGTAAAAAGGATGGTAAATGGAATATATTTACTCCATTGTTTAAAATGATTCGGTTAAAATATTCACTGTTTGAAGTAGAGAGAGTTGTAGCAGATTTACACCATGATTTATATCCACTCCAAACTCTGATGGACATCATCCAAACGTTATTCTGAACAAGTGATTAAAGTCAGAAGTATATGAAAACTGGACAATTTAGATTACTGAAATCTTGCAGGGCCTCTTTCATCAATGAAGATACCACAGATTCTAAAATATCAGATTGTGACTACCAAAGAATTTTTTAAAGGATTTTGATGGTATAAGATCATTGACATGCTGGAGAGAATTCCACAAAAATAATAATGTGCCTCCATTTAATACTGAACAAGAAAAAACAAATTTGCTGAGGCTTATGGATACATAAAGGATCTGAAGTTTTCAAAGTTATTAAATGCTTTAATGTCTGGAACAGCATAATTCTGAATATGACAATACCTGACTTTGTACAAGCATTCTTATCTAAAAAGATCATTTATAAAGATGATTTTTGATCACAGGAACGTCTCAATTTTACAACATTTGAAAATAGCACAGGAGCTCCTTACTTTAACAGACTTCACATCATGCCTAACTTCAAAGATGAAAGATGTGTAGAAGAAGAAATTGGAAAGTTGTGGTGATGTCTTTAAATGCAGATTAAAACTTAACCCCAAAAATGCAATGACAGGTTTATTTCGTAGATTCAGTTTACTGCAATTTCATGAATGTGTTTAGAAGAGTTCAGTGCACTTTATAACAGTGTGAAAATACTGTGTACAATCAATAAAACATCTAAGTAAATGTCCACTATCCAACTGAAGAAAAGATTTTACACAACTAATTGCTTTTTCCCAAATATGCTTCAATGCCTTGATATGTTTAAGATTTAATGGTATAGAATGGAATACCAAATGAGAATCATACATTTCCTAAAAAAAATTCAGTCCGGAGACTTTAATCACAAATAATATCTCATACTTGATAAAAAGAATTGAAAGCGCTATAAGCAATAAAACTACTGCATGTCTTCTAGTATAATGGAATAACCTCAAAGTCCTTGTCTTCACTTAAACCTGGCACTATACAGTATGTATAAAAGGGAAATTATCTGTACATTGTTTGATAGTAAACATGCTATAATAAGATTGTTTAAACAGTGATTTTAAGCTTACATAGAATTAGCAAAGGAAAAGATGATTGCTGTTCTGACTGAATGAAACATGTTTGAAAAGTGAAGGAATGAAGAACAACTAATGAAATCTTATACACGAAGGCAGCATATATAGATCTACAGATAAATCAATGACATTTTGAAGACAGAAGGTAACATTATTCATTTATACCAAGCAATACGTACAGCTTGAGAAAAACTACTTTTAAGAATTATACTGTTAAACGA